GATTAGGAATTGGATGGGTCACACAAAAGCGGGATTGGTTTATTACACAAGAACAGACATCAAAGAATGAAGACCCAGCTTTTCATTCAAGAACTCCTCTCATAATCGGACTTTGTTTACAATTATTTCTATGCACAATCAACGACGTGGTGCTTGATCTATGCCGGATTCTGACATCTGGCTATTTCTAAAGATGCCAACCAATACCACCTACAAAACATAAATCATTGCGGCAGCGATACCCAGCCATATGCTCCCACCGACAGTGTACCGGCTTAGCGCACCGTTTGCTGCCTTTAGATTGGTATTCACCACCTGAGATGTTGTCCCCGCCGTAGATGTATTGAAAGTTGAGCCGATATCTCCCCACCGAATGTTAGAGAATGTGACGGACACCTCAGGGTTATTTGCCACAATCAAGGCAGGATCTCCAGAAGTATTGCTGCAAGGACCGGCGTTTCCACTGTCAAGCCAATTCATGAAGTCTCCTTCCGAGTTCCATATGCTGAAAATGAGCACCATTCCGCGGGCCAAGGATGCGCCCATGCCCGACATACCGCCAAGTCGGAGGAAGCTTGACGCATTGCTCGCGCTGCAGAAATCTTGAGTGACAGCGCCAGCAACTGCCGCCTCGTTTGTGCTAACGGGCGCGTTCTCAATGACATTCCCGTTCTGGATATACAGACGGCGAATTTCGCTCAATTCGCCGGTCGAACTGTTATCCGCGGTAAGGAATTGTGTGACCACGGTGAATGGTTTACTCGTGTCGACTGTCATGCCTGGGCCGTAGAAGTCTTTAGACCCCGTGGCAAAAGGGTTGATGCCGCATCCGTTCTTGTCACAAACTCCAACTTCGGTCTTGCCGCACTCTTCGCCGGCACAAAGGAAGGAGCCTACACGGCTGCATGTATGTGGTGTGAGTGCATTTGCCATTGAGTTGGCTTCCCAGATGTCCATCTCGTTGCAGCAGGATCCAGAATTGTTGAGATTAGGCTAGTCAACCGTTAGTCACAGCTCTCAAAGTAGACAGTAATATGTACTAATCCGTTGATAAATGAGACATTAAAACATTGCGCGTCACAGTATCCCGTGCCATACTGAGCACCAGCAGGATTCAAGTCGCTGCGGGACCCTGATGCGTCCATCTCTGATAGATACAATGCTCCGTTCATACCACATCCCAGCTGTGACACGTCAACATCATATGTAAGCTCTTGGTTGACAAGCTTCAAGAGTTCGTAATTCTTTTCGTCTTCGGCGAGCAGATAAAGACGTGGGCTGACTGATTTGAAGGCAGTCCCGTCGAACAGGTACTGTCGCATCGTGAGGGCTGAACCAGTCGTAAGAACTCCGAGACTCCCATACTCGACACCCTCGAGCTCGCAATTTTGCGCGCAAGTTGCAGCATCTGGACACAAAGTGTTATTGACAGGTGAGCAGGGAATATCAAAATTGTCCACTGCATGAAATGGTCGAGACAGAGCATCAGTGACAAGGAAAGTCTGCCTGTCAACACATCCCCCAGCTGTAGTGCAGGTTTGGGTTTGTATCTTGGGATGTACTTCCGGGATTGTGGTTCCTATTCTCTGGGCGGCGCCGAGAGAATAAAGATGAAGCAAAACGACTGCCAATTTCATCTTCATTTTGATAGCGAAGATATATGACAGGAGTATAATTCTTTCTTTCGCTGGGATGCCTTCTGATCCAAATCTGTGTACTAATACTGGAACCATGCTTGTATTTAAGACAAAGAGGCATTTCATCCACGGGTACTGTGATGCCCATATCCACCTATCACCAAAGCCAGTCCTATGACTGCCGCAGCTTGCATTGAATGATCATCGCAAATCAGGGGAATTGAAAACCACCTCCTTCCACTTATCAAAAGTGCACTCTGAGACATTTACATGTACCGTGAAACCGAAACTTGGTGGCAAATGCTTAAAAGTTTGTGAGGCGGCTGAATGCATTGTCTGAGCTGTCCCCAACATCTGAGAAGAGCTACTCGCCTTGAACGCAATGGGGGCAGTCGAGGCCCATTCAGGCAAAAAATCTGGAACACTTGAGGTAGTGCCCTGACTAGCTGGCCTAGCACATGAGTCCTTCTTTGGATTGTCTTTTGCTATAAAAGTCGAGTCTAATCACTGTAGGATTGCACGTCACGAATACTGAGATGTCCGGACCAGCAATATACGCCTTGACCAGCATATTATCAAATATCACTGGAGTCACTTTGATAGACTAATTACTTTTCTTTTCGAGTGCCGGTATTTGGCCTAGCGCAGATTGATGCTTGATGAAACTTAGGTCTTTGCGGGTCCACCGGTGTCTGTGTTGGCCCAGTAAATGTGGTTTGTGCACGAGGGCGGAGGAGCCGCAGGATCGTTAGAGTGCCATTCAATTGGTTGCATTTGAGAGATTGCGCCCTGAAATGTCCTGCTGTCAGACGGGAGGATGCGCTTGTGCGGCGTAGTGATAGCGGTTGACCAGGTATAGAAATGTGTTGAAGCCGATTATAAAACAGACTCTTGCTCTGACGTGATTTGTATTTTGCAGACCATCAAGGTGAATACGACAGCATTTGTCAATTTCAGCCCTCATGGCGGCCCAAAAAGAAACGGCCACTGGGCAGTACCCATTGGCAACCGTGCCAAATGATCAGCTTCCAAAGCACATACAAGAGCTTCTTGCCGAGCTTCCCGACTGTGTCGTTCTCCAGTCTAACGTCGAAGCTTTCCAGGAGGCCGTGAATGCCGCCTGGGCTCAGCACAATCGCGAAGTCATCCCTGCATGCATCGTACGCCCGCCAGATACACCACAGCTCAGCAAGGCCATTGCGATCTTGAAACGGGAATATGACGCCCGCAGCCAGGCAGAGAGCTCTGACTCAGGTTTATTCGCTGTCAGGAGTGGAGGTTGCAATCCGGGACTGGGCTCGGCGACAGTTCAGGATGGCGTTGTTATTGATCTTAGCCTCTTCCGTGAAGTAACGCCTGCTGCCGATGGAGCCACTGTTACTCTTGGAACTGGTTCCAAATGGCTCGAAGTGTACAAGAAATTGGATGAGAAAGGGATAACTGTCATGGGAGGAAGAAACGTACCTGTTGGTGTGGGTGGGTTAACATTACAGGGTAAGATCTCTATGGTTCCATTACGGGATTGGTTTCCAATGGAGATGATAAATGCTGACAGCCCATCACCAAAGGCGGGATTTCCTTCTATTCTCCCAGACATGGCTTTGTTTGCAACAATGCCGTGAGCTATGAGGTCGTACTCGCCGACGGAACGGTCGTGACTGCTTCGGCCACGGAGCACCCCGATTTGTGGCGCGTGTTGAAGGGCGGCTCGAGCAACTTTGGCATCGTGACTCGCTTTACGCTGCGAAGCATACCCTCCGAGCCGATTTGGGTTGGACAGTTCTTCGCACCGGCGGTGTTCCAGAAGGCAAAAGCCTTGAATGCTTATCATGACTACCTCAAACGGGCAGGTTCTGAAGGGTTTGACGAGAACGCCGCTGGCCCGATATTGTCATTTTGCTTTGTACAGGGCCTTCCCTTCCAAGTCATTGCCATGCATCTTGCGTATACCAAGGCTCCTAGTAACAACAAGTGGCCAGCCCACTGGAAAGAAACCGGCTTCAGCTCTATATGGAGTGTCTACAGCACCAGTAAGGTACAGAGCCATACCGATGCCGTGGAAAACCTCGGCAAAAGCGCTCCGGCCGGTACCAGGCATATGCAGGGAACTACAACTATCCGCAACGATGCCGAGACCTTGAAAGCTGCCTACGAGATATTCTGTCAGACTACGACCGAATTGCGGAACGTGAAAGGCCTACTGTTCCCCTTCACTTATCAGGCAATTCTACCTGCGTGGATGAACAAGGGTGATCCAAACGTGCTCGGCCTCGAGGGCTGTACTGAGCCCTTAATCATCTTTAACTGCTCTCTGACATGGTCTCGGGCTGAAGATGACAAGCATGTCCGTTCAACTATCCAACGTGCTCTGGAACGAATAGACGAAGCTGCTGCTGCGAGAAAAGCAGACCACCCGTACAGATTTATGAACTATTGCATGGAATTTCAGAACCCATATACAGGTTGCGGGGAAGAAAGCTTGCGGCTTATGCGGGAGGCAAGCAAAAAGTATGACCCCGATGGCCTCTTCCAACGCGGAATCACTGGTGGATTCAAGCTACCTTGAACACTTTGCATCGGAGCTATTCGTGAAGTCTGTTTGATTCGCAGGGTATGCTGGCTTAAGCATAGAAAAAGGTACTCGATCGATCGATTGCTTCTTTGATTTGTCTGAGGAATTTGTTGGTACCCGACGAAGTATATAATCATGTACATATCGTCACAATAATGATATATTTAGCGACTAGATAGAGCACCTAAAGGAATCACCGAGCCGTACGCTTTGTAAGAATATTGTACATCGGCTGTTCATCTCGAAAGACCTGTGGCTAGTAAAATGCCGACCGGGAATGCTGTCCAGCGACCGTAACATAGACTATGTATACTTTACAATGCTGACATTTACAGCTGATTAATGTTAAGGTGTTGCCAGGTGAAGAGCAGCTTTTATCTGATGTGAATGAGTTGACCAATATTGGGAACCCTGCCTGCGCCATGCAAGATGGCGCACTGTAATCAATCAGAACAGCGGACCATTGGCCACAAATACGCACGGGTTCGATCTGATAAGATTTCAGTCAGGTGCCAAGCTGATCGACATGGGCTTCAAATCCCCAGTGCTAGCGGATGGTCCAGTACTGTACGAGTGAGGAATGCCTTATCATAGCTGATAGGGTCCAGATAGCGTTGAAAATGCACCGGCTATCGCGCCCCCCACTGATATTCCCGGGTGTTCTAGATGGTTGGGTAAAAGCTGAAGTGAGGGCTAGAGTCTCTAGCTTTGACCGAGAGATTCCCTGACGCTCGATTTTCTCTTCTCCCTCTTTTCTCTGTTCACCGCTGTGCGGGATGCTTTGAAGCACAATGGAGAAGGCTTGGTTGTTATCAGACAACTCTTCTCCCACTGGAGACTCGACAATCAAGCCGGCCCAGCCCAAAAAGCGCAAGGTAGTCGCTTTATCGTTGACAGCCCTACTGATTTGGGCCTTGATTTCGCCCTGGTCGCGTGCCGTGCGGCTTCCGTTACCCCCAGACAGCAGCGACGCCGAAACGGCAACGCGCAGTTTCCGCTGGGACTACGTTGCACCCAGCAAGTCTTTGCAATACACTCCGTGTTTCTCTGATTATTTCTGTGCGCGACTGTCCGTACCGATCAACTGGAATGCGACAACCGACGACAGGGCTGACGGCCCCTCCGTAGAGATTGCCATCATCAAGCTGCCGGCTAAAGTGCCTGTGACAGACCCACGTTACGGTGGGCCGATTCTGCTCAACCCTGGTGGCCCTGGAGAATCTGGTGTATACCAGGTTTTGTCGGATGGCAAGAGTTTGCAGACGCTGGTCGACGTTGCCGAAGGGACAGAATCCCCAGACGCCAAGTTCTTTGACATCTTGTCGTTTGACCCGCGGGGTGTAAACAACACAACACCTCGCCTACGATGCTTCCCGGACGGCTTCAATCAGCAGACATGGCTGTTGAGGCAACCAGACTATGGTCTTCTGTGGGATAGCGAGAGCATCATCGGCATGGAATGGGCCAGAGCAGAGGCGCTGGGACGAAGTTGCTCTTATGGTGAAGACGAGTCGGGCATTCTTCGGTATTTGAATACTGCTCAGGTGGCCGAGGACATGCTCCAGATTGTCGAGAAAGAGGGCGAGTGGAGAGCGAAAGAGGCGACCAGGCTCATCCAGGAGCAGTCGACCACCAACAAGGACGAGATTATGCAGCGTGCATCGTACAAGCCGGGGCAAGAAGCAATTCAGTATTGGGGCATGAGCTACGGAACGCTGCTCGGCGCGACATTTGCAGCCTTGCACCCCGATCGCATTGGTCGAATGATCCTTGATGGTGTCGTGGATCCTGCGGATCACTATGGCGGCCACTGGCTGACGCAGCTCCAAGATTCCAATATGATCATCACCAAATTCTGCGAGTATTGCTTTCGAGCTGGCCCTGGCAATTGCCCGTTGTACACTGGCTCGTCTGCGGAGGATGTTGAGTCTCGCTTCACAGCAATCCTGATGTCGCTCAGGGGCAGCCCCCTCGCGGTGGCCGTCACGGATGGAAACACCGTCAGCCCTGAGATCATCACATATGGCGATGTGCATCTCATCCTTCTTACAGGGATGTACTTTCCATTCTCCTTTGCTGAGGGACTCTTCGATCTGCTCCTTGCCATAGAGAGTCGGAATGGTTCGGCTCCGGCGTTGACGAACATGGCTGTTAGAAAGCAGGCTCGGCTAGTCCCGATCGAATGTGGGCAGGATGACTCGAATCTTGGAGGCTGCATTCCTTACATATCTGGAGTAGGGGCATCGCAATCGATATCATGCATGGACATGGCTGGCTCAACTTCTCTCACTCGGACCGGTTTCCAAGACTATCTAGAAGAGTTGCAATCGCAAGGTCGATGGATCAGTCCCAGCTGGGCACGTAACAAGCTCGCCTGTGTTGGCTACACGGTCCACCCCGAGTGGAAGCCGGATCTTACCTTTGAGAAGCAGGAGTGGGCGAACACATCGCACCCACTGCTGATCATTGGCAACTCACACGACACTGTGACACCCGTGAGGAATGCCCGCCGTGTCTCGACCTTGTTCCCCGGAAGTCAAGTGCTGCAGCAGGACTCGGAGGGACACTGCTCGCATTCGACACCGTCCCTTTGTACGGCGAAGGTGATTCGTGAGTATTTTCAGAAAGGGACTTTGCCAACAGACGGCAAAGTGTGCGCACCGGAGACCAGGCCGTTCCTGGGTTGCATATCAGAAGATAGTGAGGACGAGAAAGAGTGTAAATACGTAGACAGCGAGGACGCTCGGCTATGGGAAGCGATGGTAGACCTAGCTGACCCATTCGGACTGCGGCAGGAGTAAGAGATTAGAGAGCATGTGACCAACGAATAATGAGCGATGCATAGTGCTTTCAAACAATTCCAACTTTCAAATGCAAGATCAATATAAACGTGCGAGTAGTGGACGGATAGAACAATTGAGACATGATGTTATATTTGTCGAGCTGTCAATTAGGGCAAGCAAGTAAGTAGACTGCTAAGTTTCTGCAATACCACAGCCTGCTTATCCGCGGCAGCTGTTGTCTTATCATTCGCGTCACCGACGCTGACAGAAATATAGCAGCCATCCGTATTAGACACATCCGTCTCGGTGGGCAGCCGTGTACTACCGCAGTGCTGCACATCTGGCGCTGATAAAAGTCCGGGGTTGATGCGGCTTAGCACCCACTTGAAGCTGCTTGCTTGCGTGCAGGTACCCTCCACCTCCGGGAAGTTGACATTCAGCCAAACATCGCTGGGCAAATAGGGTGCGCCAGATGCAAGAATTGCGCTGGTCAGTTGAGTGGCTAGTTGAGCGTAAAGCAAGCTGCGTTGCGGTGGTGGGAAAGTGTTCCATGCAAGCGTGCCATCTGAAGCACCCGAAAAGGCAATTGATGGAATGCCGGCATTGTGGGCGGCGTAGACGGCAGCCCCGACAGTGCCGGAGAAGGGGACGGAAAGCCACAAATTAGAGCCGACATTCGGGCCAGTTACAACCAGCTCGGGGCCCTGGCCGTTCCAGAACTGGGGGCCGAATGTGTCAATGCCGTAGCGAACTCCAGTAACCGGATATGCATTCACCCAGTTAAGACGCGGGTTCGTGGCATTGCTGCCAACAGGGCCACTGTTCGCTGGACAGCTGTTGTACTGGCATGCCGTAGTCCGAGGGCTTGGCTCGGCATCCAGGGAGCCTTTGCGATATTAGTGATGTTGTCCTAACTCTGCACAGCACCATGCACAGCAAACTCACTTGTTCCCGACTTGTTCTCGGCAGGGGCAGACAGGACGACGTCGTGGCCTGCGGCATTCAAAGCGTCGTTGAATGAACGAATGTACAGCTCGGCCCAGCCATCATCGTTGCCCTGTAGGATGCGTGCACCCAGGACACTTTCAGCTGCTAGAAGCGCGAAGCCAAACACTGCGTCGGCACGCATCTTAGGTTGAACAGCGAATTAGTTCGCAGCACTTGCGAGAGACCGCAACACAACAAGACGGAGGATGCAACGGCCATTTTATGCCGCTCTCACATGAACGTGCCCAAAACGTTGTCGGCCGCTTGGCCATTGCGGAGTGCATCTCGGATCAGGTTGATTACGATTTGCGAGGCCGCCGAGGGGCTCCAATCATGGAGTTATTTCCCGCCCAGGAATAGTGGAATGAAACCGCCGCTTGGGGTTGCAACAGTTCTGCAGCGCGCGGATTCGTCCGTCCAAGGAGACACCTTCCTGGCACACGTGGTGGCAATGTAGCATCTTCAGCACGCCTGGTTTCAGGGGTAATGCGAGTCCACTGCACTGCCACGCCAGTGCCGACCTCTTGTGGCTTGCCACCGGCGTTCAGGCAAAGACTTCAAGGATGAGCTGCCCTGGAGCTCCCTCAAGGCTCACTTGGCGCCCCAGAACAGCGTCCAAAGAAATAGCGCAAAAGATCCCCAATTGCCGGCAAGCTGGATCGCGGAGTATTAGCGCCCATAGACCAATTTCCCACTGTGGGCCGCTCGCTCGGTCAACCTTTGAGGAAAGGGACTCACGACCATGCCATGTACAACACCGACATTATCAAACTGTCTCTGGGACGTACACAAACGGCAGGTCACGTCACTTAACATTTCCCTGCAAAGATATCGACGCATATAGTTGTCTGCGGCTGCTTGTGATAAGGTTGCGGCTACCTTATCCACGAACCGTGGATGGCTATCAAGTGGTCGCGCGGTGCTGAATTAGCGCCCGAGCTCCATACGTCATCGACCTGTCATGCGTGGGCAGAGCTTCAATGACATCGTCGCCGTGTTTGGGCTCAAGTTTTTCCTATGCGAATTACTTCATTTGAGCTGAATATATATATTTGAAAGCCGTGATTTATATTCTCGATCTTGGAATCCCACCTACTTCTACACAATAGAACTCCATCATGTCTAGTCTCGAGCCCTCCGGCCCCGCGCAGCCCCCAAAATCGGAAGCTTACACTGAAGCTGCCAACCCCGCGACACAGAATCCAGCCGAGAAGGCTGCTGCCAGTCACGGACACGGACCCTACTCGACAGAGGTTCGAGGTGCCGACTCTCAGCGAAGCAATGAAGATGCTGTACCGCAATCCCTGGGCAGGGGCACCCACGGGAGTGGGCCAACGGACGCAAGAGAGGCGCGCGAGACATACCACAAAAGTGAAGAGGGTCAACAGTCTGTCCCTGAAAACGAGAACGTAGATGCAGAGCAGGTGGCGACATATGGGGAGGGCGAGGTTGCAGATGCAGTGCAGCGCAAGAGTGGGACGCAGCGGGCTGCAGGGGAGAATCCTGGACTGGACGACTATGCTTCAGATCTTGACAGGTGAGCACGTGTAGCAACTCTAGTTGAATTGCATTATGATGTAACAGTGTCTAACTTGCGTTGTTGATAGAAAGAAGCGTGAACAGGCCTCAGCTCGAGAATCTATTCAGGAGGCGCGGAAAGCAGGCATCGACGTTGATGGAGGTCAAAACAAGAGATCGGGAGTGGAGGTTGACTAGATTCATTGAATGCTGATCATCTGCCATTGCACATCTTCTAGTCGGATGCCGTCGTTCTCCTCCGGTTCTACCACTCGCCAGCGTTCCCTACCATAGGGGAACCATGGAGGTTTCATCTTATCGCCAACAGCATCTCCTTCCATGATACCATTCACTACCGCAGATTGTCAGTTATAAAAATGACATTACAATGTAGCCAACTCACCATAGGCTTCCCCTACCAGTCCATAGTGACCGTTCATACTGTTTTTGCGGAGAATGATTGGGTAATTGCAGCCTCCAATTATCCATACTTCGTCGCCCTTTTCCGCTTCGTGAGGGCCGATACATAAGCGATTCCCACCAGTAACGAAGAATCTCCGACGTCTCATGACATTTCTAGCAATGTTACGGGCTGAATCCTTCCTCCAGCCTGCAGCAAGGACCCTAAGAACTTTCTCTTGCAATCCCCTGTCTGTCGCCGGAGTGGCTGTTGCCGTGGCCGCAAGCTGGACAGCTTCACTGATACCCCTCTGTAACGATTCTTCCACCCCGGCTGGCTTTTTGTCTCGCCAGCTATTATCAATCTCCCATAGTGGCGGATCTGGGTCGACTTGGAAAGTGGGCGTGAGTCCCATTATGCTATCAATCAAGACAGCAGAGACTCCCAGCACATCGTCATCAAACTCGTATTTCGGTCTTCTTCTTCCCGCTGCTCCGAATCCGCATTCCGTAGCTACAATATTTGAGGTTGAGCCGGTGTAATATGATTGGAAAAGTCTATCTCTATTGACAAACAGAGTAGGTCGGTGGTCATTCGCCTCTTGCCTCCAGTCCGGCACCCATGATGGCAAGCCGTCCGTTCGTGATAATCCGTTGGCCGCCAAGAGGATATCCATATGGTCTTCCAAGTCGATGATGTTACGAGCTGCTTCTTTATACACTTCCACCATAGGCTTGGTATAGTCCGCGTGCATGTGCGGTCTGGTCTCATCAGCTATGAGCTCCAGCGCAGCGAAAACCTTATCTCTGGGATCAGCAGCGTCACGATCCCAAGTGTTCCAAAGGACATCAGAGAGCCCACGGCCATTAACTCTCTCATGGGCAATGTGAAGAGCCAGACCCCACCGCCGCTTCAGCGTCTTCCACTTCTCTAGTCGCGCTGTGTTGCCACTTTCCAATAATGTTTGTCCCATATCATCCCATGCCTCCGAGTAATTGAGAGCCTCCTGGATTGTTCTCCATCGGATAATTGCAGCTCCGCATTGCAAGATCACTTTTCTGGCACTCCAGACTTCCTGAACGACCCAAGTCCGCGACCACCACGGCCTTGCTACCAACTCATCAAGAGTCTCCCAGTCCTCGTTGGATGACCAACCAGCGTAAGACCGATACCAGTAATTGGGGAACAAAATCGGCCATCCGTATTGAATGTGCGCGCGTGGGTAGCACGTCTTCTTCTCCGCGCCCACGGACGGATCAGGGTTCTCATTTCCCATGAGGCGGATAAAGTCAATCGCGCGAGTACTGGTAGCGCTCTCTTCGCCTATCCAGACAACAACTAACTCTGCGCCCCTATAGATGTCGCGCATCTTGCCCACCTGGCAACTGCGCTCTGCGACATCCGCCTGGTTGATGCACAGAGCATCGATCCACATTACACGCTTCACATCCGGCCGCCGAAGGCGCTGCAGCGCCTCGTAGAGATTCGTCGAGACGGCAAGCGACGATGACCCTGTAGATACTTCATACGCAAAGTCGGCTTTGCCCCAGGCATAGGAGAGGGCTTCGTAGGCGGGATGAGTGCCCAAAGTGGTGTGGAAAATCTCCACTTCGATTGACGCATGGCCGTCGCCCGGCAAGAGGCTCAAGAGACGGATTCCATCGGAAGCGTCGAGCGGCGCATAGCTATACCGAAAAGCTACCATTTTGACAAGATATCTGGCGCTGGATAGCCTCCACTAACGAGCTTTGGACTTGGAAGAGGGTATCTCGACCCTCTCTCGCAGGTTGAGGCACTGCAATTGGGGGCCAAGCATCGCTGCCAATGAGCTGGCCCCAACGAAGAGGCAATCCACGTGCGCACATATTGGGCAGCTGCTCGGCAAGCTTGAGGCCATCAGCGCTTATCTCACCAAGCCCAATCTTGTTTCAAGCAGACTTGACACGGATGAGCAGACAGCAGCCACATAACATGGCGTGCTGTCTCAGACAAAGTGTGTGGCACAGCGAGAGACATCAACCAGCCGCCCGGTAAGGCGCTAAAGGGCTCCCCCGTAATATGCACTCAACCTTAACAGCACTCATTTTGCATTAGATCATCAAGTTAGAGAAAACCAAGGGAGACATCAAAGAGAAGTCAGTCACTGGTCTCTCTTGTTACTTTGAATGATGCTTTCATCGCGTAATATCAAGAGGTCTCACATCTAGGAATCGTAAGACAACTAGGTATTTTGCCGTCCAAATTAAACCATAGCATCATCGATGGTGAACGAGAAAATGCTCTACCGGTGTAATGCCAACGCATTTCAGCGCTTTGCATTGAATACAAATCCTACAGGCAGGGCTTGAACGGGCGGCGCGGACCTGAGAGACCTGAGTTAGACTCCTTCAGCTGAGCTACTCTGAACCAGTGATCTCAACGGTGTTCCTTTTCTATACTCATATAAAAAATAGTGTATCGCAAACAGGCTAGATCTCTGGTCTTTGATCCTAAGTTGTGCGTGTTAAGGCGTGGCTCTGCGTAGTATTGCCTTGCAGACCTCCACGACGGATGAGTGGCTCCCAAGTCCAAAGACATGAGCAAGCCTGGCATGAGGTTTGGTCGATTCACACTTCTACGACATCTCTCGAATTTTGATAACGAAATCCAATGGAGCGATCAACTTGGAGGGATTTTCTACATATTGACAACTCTTGAACTACTCCTTCGCCAGAGTAATAAACGTTAATTCTTGAAGGTAAAGTTCCTCAATGTTGAGACTCGTAGTACTATCAAGCTCTCGAATGTTCCATTTACTACTATAGGCCCATCAACTTCTACAAAGGCAATAACCTTTGTTGAGAAGGTAGTAATATATACTCTTGCCGAACCAACATTTATTACCCTAGCGGAGGGGTAGACAGACAGCCCAGCAGGCACCCACATCCCGCACGAGAAGAGGGCATCCACGTAGGGAGCCGATGTTCGGCTAGCCGGAATCAGTTGAAAAAGACTGCTTCCGGATATCAATGATCCAGAAGTATAAGAAGCTTTCGAGAAGGCTTAACTAGTAGGCCTTATGTTTCTAGCCACCAGTCAAAATTACGCGGTCGAGTCATTCCTTCTCATTGTCAAGAAGCTTTGCTTAATGCACACACTCGATTGCTGAAAAAACGCACATTATACCGTTTCCAGTAACGATCATCGAATCTCCGCTTATTTTTGCAGAAAATCTATATAGCTTCGAAAACAGTATATTTCGATACCAAACGCATCAAACGCATCTCTATATCTACGAAAATCCGTCAAATCTGTCAATATTATAAATTAAGGCTATCTTCAAATACTATCTACTTATCTATCTTTAAAGCTATCGTCAACATAATATAGCTTTGCCACTATCGTTTCTATCGTTTGACAATATCCTTATTAATGATAGTCTATCGTTATCATTATTATCGTTAGATAAAGCTATTTTTATTGATATATTATCGTTAGCTATCGATAATCTTATAAAAATATAATCTAACTTTATGATAACTATTAAGATTATTTAGACAGTTGCTAAAGCTGATAGTTTTACTATTTTAAAGAGATAAACCAATCATTATCTTAGCTTACTAAAGATGATTTATATCTTCAATTTAATATATTATTTTTTAGATAATTAAGCCTAATATAGTTATAATACTCTTAAATCGAAGATAAAGGCTAACAAAGAGTTAAAATATATCTTATAATATTATAAATATCCTTTCAAAATATAAGCTTATTTTTTATATACTATAGCTATAATATTAATTAAAATAATTAAAGCTACTTATAATTATTATCTTTTTCTTATAAAAGTATCTTAACTATTAGCTAACTATTATCGTTAATAAGATAAAGCTATTTGTAAGTAAATTAAGGTTTTAGCTGACGATCCTAAGCAAACTTACTATAATATTATCTTTAGCTTATAAAAGATCTTTCCTTATCTTAAGATCTATATAAAAGATATTAATAATAAGCTTTAAAAGATATATATTAAGGCTGATAGTAGCTAAATACTAACCTAACTATTTTTAGTAGAATTAAAGTTATTATCAACTGTTTATTATCTTTAAATCTAATATAAAATGTTAAATAATAAAAAATCATAAATTATATATATTTTTTAGTTATATAAATAAAATCTTAATCAACTATATTTTAATTTTAAAGTTTTTACCTTTGATAATATTTATAAAATAAATTATTTTAACTTATCTTTCTATTAGGCTACTAATATTATTTTTATTAACATTAATTTTATTATATTTTTTACTCTTCTTTCTAATAAGAATAAAACTTTATTCTATTAGATTTTAAAGTAAATAAAAGATTTACTATTTTTAAAGAATATTATATTTCTATATATTATTCTTAACAATTTTAATAAAGTCTTTAAAAATATTATAATATATGTTTTTCTAGATATTATAAAGTATCAAATATATCTTTAATATATTATAAAGAATATTGTTTATAATATTAAAAAAAAGTAGATTAAAACTTTTGATAATACTATTATTAATGATTCTAAAGATAGTATTGATAGTAGATTATATCTAGATCCTACTTTAATAAATACCTTTTTCGACGATAATAATAAAGCTATTAAAGCTAATGAAAATCTTATCTTAAGGCTATTTAATAATAAAGACTAAAATAACTAAAGTAAATCTTATAATAATAGCTATCTTCTTATTAATATCAACTATACTTTATCTAAAAGTAATTATATCTAATTAAATAATATTGATAGAATATTAAGAATATAAAAAGATAATATTTA